GCAGAACTGGCGAAGGAGAGGAGAGGCGGGGAGCGCTGGCAGGTGGATGACTGCGGCTGAACTCCACCAGGCATGAAAACAAGAGGAGCAGACAGTAAATTCGAGGGAAGTCAGCAAACCTCTCTGGGGGGACCGTTCCGAAGAGGGGCGATCTGTAATGGGTCAGGAATGAGCTCCCTGGGCTCAGGTGCTTGGCCGCTCCACTCACAAGCCCACTCCCAGCCCAAGAATTCTTCAGTTCCTGGGAGGTAGGAGTCATCTGAGCCTCCTGGGATCGCCTCCCCGGCGAGAAATGATCTCAAAGCATGTTTACCTGCATTGCCGTTTTTTGGGGGGTGTTTTTTGTGTGCTGGTGTCCTTTCGTTAGGCTCTGTCCCCCCACACGCTCCCTCTTCCCTCTCACACTGACTCCACACTTGGTGTTTGAGGTCAGTGAATCCGTGGGGCTGGGAAGGTCATGTTGAAATGCTCCCAGGACCATAAAAAGCTCATCCAACGAGAGTCACCATTTCTCCTTAAACCATCCCCCCTGACAACTTTCTGCACAGACTGCAAGGAGAGCACTGATCCTGTCAATTACTGTGTACTCAGCAGACTTCCTCTGAATGAAATCTCACAACAAACTGTATATATTTTGGGATAATCTCCATTCCATTGACGGTAATGGTGAAAATAAATGGTATATCGTTACCATTTACTGAGTCTGTCAGCCGTAGACGGTGGGCCGGGCATTTTTCTAAGAGCCCTTGCGTGTGCTGATTCACTTAATCTTATGAGGAAGGTGTCATCACCGTCTCCAGGTTACAGGTGAGAAAATGAATCAGACAAGTTAAGTCACTGGTGCAGGCTAGAAGCGGAGAAGCTTAAACTGAAAAGAGATCAGGCTGGGCGCAGAGCACCTGAGCCATCGGGGTGAGAGGAGGAACTGAAGCAGCGGAAGTTCTATCACGTGCCCAAGATCAGATTTCAAGATCTGGGATTTGAACGCAGGCTTGTTTTTATCAAAAGCTCATCTATAACTTTCTCACCATGCTCCTTCCCCAAGAGAAGAGAAAAACAAGACCCATGCAGTCAGGGCACTTGGGGAATTGGATGCCTCGGTTGGGAGGCCTGTTCTGTTCACATGGGCACATGAAAGACTGTCACCACTTTGGGGAACTTTTGTAGCCACATCTCAGCTCGGAGGAGGGAGCCAAGTGACAACAACCTTAACCTACATCTGCAAAGAACAGAAGCGTGAATTTATCTCCTCTTATTATCTGCCTGTTCGTTGTCTTATCTAGCAGGTTGCTATCGTTTGTGCAAGTCAAGAGCATTGTTTTGACTAGTTCAAGATGCACCGAGCTCCCCCGTCGCTAGCTGCCCGGAGCTCGCACCTCAGCCAGCGGAGAGGGCTTCTTGTTTCTTGTTTCTGAGCCTCAGCTCATCACTGCCGAACCCCTCACACGCCAGGTGGTGAAAAGAACCCCTTTCAGGCTCAGAGGCCAATCTGGATTTGTTTGGCGCTCCACTTCCCAGGCACCTCTACCAACTGCCCCACACCGCCCCTCCCGGAGCAGGTTACCTGACCGTGAGCTTGACCCGCAGGTAGCGGTCCACGGCGATGGCCAGCAAGAACATGATGGAGGCGTGGGTGAAGATCAGCAGCAGGCAGGTCATGAGGAGGCAGCTGTAGAAGTGGACCGTGATGCCCAGGCTGATGACAACGGCCAGAGGCATCACTAGCACCCCAACAGCAATATCAGCCAGCGCTAGGGAGACGATGAAGTAGAAGGTGGTGGTCTGCAGGCTGGGGTTCAGCTTGACTACCCAGATGACCAGCGTGTTGCCCACGATGGAGCAGAGCCCGATGACAGTCTCCATGGTGATGTAGCCAATGGTAGCCAACGACGGGGCAGTGCTGTTGACAGTCATCTTGCTTTCCAAGGGGAGCCTGCCGAGTGACAGGTGCACAGACGGGATCCGCGTGGGCCAGTGAATCCAGCGCTTGCCGGGGGTCCAGGTGCAGCAGCCACAGCCTAAAACTCACAGCTCGCCCATTCCTCCCCGTCTCCGGGGGCGCTGTCCTGGGGGCGGCCTCTCCTCAGGGAGAGCCCATCACGGGGCAGTCACTTCCAGCCGCCCTTCCTGCCGCGCATCCCCGGCTTCCCAAAAGCCTGGAGGGCGGCTCTTTGTGGGCTGACTCGGAAAGAGCTGTCGCTGCTCTTAGTTCCCCAGGCAGATTTGCTCAAGGGCTCCGCCTTCCCCTGTCCCCGAGGGCTCGTGAGGCTCCATCAAGATATGCAACCCTCTTCGGGGTGTTTCAGGAAGTGAGATGGGACAAGAGGAAGCAGGAGCCGGGGACCCTCGGCAGGAAGGTGGGAAGAGCAGGGGGCGTGAGCGGCAGGGAGAAAGCTCAGCACTCAATCATCGGGACCAGATGCCGGAGGCGAGCAGAGTTGGGGGAAGGTGGGAGAGGATCTGGGAGCACGGATGATGTAATACTCTGGCTTTCTGCTGGCTTAGCAAGAAACCCTGGGGCAGAGAGGCGAACGGAGACAGAGAGGGGCAAGAAATAGACTTTGGTGGCAGGCCCCTCACCTTAGCCAGAGTTTACTCTTCCAGTGCACAGAGCAGAGAGACTGACTGTGTGTCCCTCCCAAATTCACGTGTTGAAATCCACTCCTCAAGACAACGGTGTTTGGAGGTAGGGCCTTCAGGAGATTACTAGGTCAGGAGGGTGGAGCCCTCATGGATGGGATTAGTGTCCTTATAAGAGACCCCACGGAGCTCCCCGGCCCCTCCCACCGTCCATGAGTCAGGAAGTGTGTCCCCATCAGACACCGATTCTGCCTGGGCCTTGATCTTGAAGTTCCAGCCTCTTGAACTGTGAGAAATAAATTTTCCGTTGTTTATAAACCACCCACTCTGCTGGGCACAGCTGGAACCCAGCCTTCGTAGCAAAGGTGTTTTGCCAAAGGGACAAGCTAAGACTCCTTGCTCAGAAGAGCAAAAATTCAGGACCTCCCGTGAGCATTACATCTGCTGTCGCTCCACCTCCCCTTCCCAGCCCACACCCCACCTGACCCACCTCCTCTTCCCAGCCCACACCCCACCTGACCCGCCTCCCCTTCCCAGCCCACACCCCACCTGACCCGCCTCCCCTTCCCAGCCCACACCCCACCTGACCCGCCTCCCCTTCCCAGCCCACACCCCACCTGACCCGCCTCCCCTTCCCAGCCCACACCCCATCGAGCCCTCACACCAGCAACCACCTGTGTCAAGTCTGTTTGAGGAATAGCTGGACGACAGGATGACCGGCCATGCAGAAAGGAAGGAAAGGGTAACATGTGTATGTGATCACAAGGCATCCCCTCTTCCCTCGTGC